TTATATTATTAATTTTAAAATTTTATTTTAAACTTTCATTTTTTCTATAATTGCTCTTTTGAATTATTTACTTTACATTTTATGTTTGGTCCCCGAGCTCCTTTGCGATGGAATTTTGATATGACATGAAGACCTAGAGGAAGGTGGACTCTAACTCCTCACTTACGCGCAGCATTGACTATAGAAGTCAATAACGTACTATCCCTAAATAATATTTTGTTCGGTCCCCTGACTTACGCAATGTAGAAGAAAATAACATATGATTCCTGATTTCTGAATTATTTACTTAATATTTTTGTTTATTCCCTAAGCTTATACTAGAATTTCAACTGATCATAATCTTTAATTTGGTGCAATTAGAGCTTAAACTTTTTGAATAATTCAAAGAGAAAATTGAGGAACTCATTTTTAGCCCTAGATTTTGTTGACAGATTTTTAAGGTAGTGATTTACATGACAACAATAATTAGTCCTACAGTCTGATTTACTTGTTTTATTTTATCTATTTATTATTATCAAGAAATACATTTATTCTAATAAATAAGATTTATCTTTTTATTTTCATCTTTACTTACAATTAAATTGAAAAATCCTAATTACTTACAATTAAATCAAAAAATCATTACTCTTTTTTATCTCTTTTGATATACGGTAAAATTAAAATAAGAAATGTGTTTTTCAATATGAATTGTATTCTTTATGTAATTTAAATACTAAAATTACCCAAACAACAAACTACACTTATTATTTATTAATTTTATGTGTTTTGGTAATGTTAAAATCCAAACTACACAAAAAAGTACAGTCCGTCTTGAAAATGAGCTTTGTCAATTAAAATATTAGTAGTGTTTACTAATATCTTACTAAAATAGCAATTAAGACAATTAAATCATATAATTTTTATTTACAAAGTGAGATTAATTAAATTAGATCGTAGGAAGTAAGTAATTATTTTATTATAATAAAGGCATTGTTTGGTTTGGCTGACAGTGACAACTTACACTCCTTTTGTCCTAGAAATAATAGAAGCAAGTTGATTTCTTCTTTTTTTTTTTGATAGGAAATAGAGAATTATATTAAATATCAAGAGATTACATAAGAATCTCTAGCAAGGCATTATAGCCAAATGAAGGACAGAAGCATAACCTACAGCATTAGTAACAGATTTAAACTGTGCCCATGACATATATGGACAATTAAGCGAAGAGGGCCATTTATGACTAAAGATTGTAACTACAATCGCTGTAAGGGCAAAAATAGGGCTACAAAAGTAGAAAAGGAGGTCGCTATGAGTGTCTGAAACTACTGGACGTCCTCACCTATTTAGCCAGCTTCATGGGGAGAGCAGGGAAAATTCGACATCAGCAGTCCCCAACCCACTATATGTCGTCCCTAAAACAGGTTCAATCAATAGGAGGACCATGCTCCTCCATACAAACCCAGGCACCTCCCTTGTTGCCATGGGCTCTCAACCATGCCCTAACTATTCCAATCCTTTGCAAGCCCTTGTTGCCAAATTTCAATAAGGGAACTAGAGCCCCTTGTAAGACTAAAACAGAATTATTCCCCGTAACGACTTTACCAACCTCATCCTTTTCCTTTGGCTTACGACCGAAAAAACCAATCAGCCTCCAATGATTACCACTCGGGTACCCTAGATATAAGCAAAACAGAGGTATCGCAATAGTGGAGTGCATTGTTTCAAAAAGGAATATGGTGCTTAGCATGTGCAGGAAAACAAAGCTCTTCTAGATCTGGAAATTAAACACAGGGTCCACCCAAAACGAGCCTTCTGCTGCACCCCGACTATCCACCTGATGCACAACGCCCTTGCCCTTGCCGCGCCCCAA